GAACTACTAGAGAGTACTACAAACAAGGTTTGAATAAAAGATACAATGCTTTGTTCCGATACAAAAGGGAAACAATCCAAGTAAAATAGGAAGGGACTCCGGCCTGCTGACGTCAGCTAGGCTACCTCGAAAGTCCCTAGACTGAAATCATCTCCCGATCAAATCCTACTGCTGAGGTCCAAAAGTTCTCCTGGATCTATGCAAAAATATGCACAGAGTGTAGCATCAGCACAACCGACCCCATGTGCTGGTAAGTGCCCAGCCTAACCTCGGCAAAGTAGTGACGAGGCTAGGACCGGACTCCAAATAAACCTGTACGGTTCATATATATATATATATATGTATATATATACATGCAGCGGAAAAGAGATACAGAAATAATTAGTCAATGTGGGAGGGGAAAACATGCTGTGGGGAACATGCTGTGGGGAGTTAAAAGTTTCAAATAGAAATCCTCAATAACAGAAAGAAACAACAAGTCAGAATATCAACAAGAATCAAAAGTCAAAAATTTGCATGTCATCACCCTTCGTGCTTTTATTCTCGTCCTCACCAAAACAATACACGGCATCACCCTTCGTGCTTTACGCTCTTTCTCACCCAAACAACAATCACAAGACAATTAGGGTAAGGGAAGCTATAACCTCGAAGTAAATCAAATAACAACAAGTAATGAAAAAGAAAAAAACAACAACATGACTCGGATATCAACAAAGAATCAGAAAGCAACAAATGCACGGCATCACCCTTCGTGCTTTTACTCTCATAAACTCTCATATCAAGGCACAGAATGACCCTTCGTGCATAAATATTCAAAACGTGGCACGGTATGACCCTTAGTGCATAAATATTCAAACATGGCACGGAATGACCCTTCGTACATAAATATTCAAAACGTGGCACGGAATGACCCTTCGTGCATAATCGCTCTTCCTCACCCAATCAACAATCACAACCAAACGGGCCGAGGGGATAGACAAACAATATTAAACATCCCGGCAAGGGAGCAACAACTATAATAAACTACACGTCCCGACAAGGGAATAATTACATCACTTTCTCTTTTGATCACTTCTTGCTCAATTATCATATTCTCGTTCGAGCCAACGCTCCAAGAATGTACAAATCATAATTCTTCCTCAAACTCTTCACATTATATGAAATTTATCAATTTAACAAGGAAGAGGTATCACAAAATCCGAATAAACACAAACAAGACTCACGGTCATGCTAGACTCCGGTGCATAGATACTCGTCACCATGCCTATACACCGTACTCAACAATTAGCAAATAGCAAACAACACTCTAATCATATTCCCTCAAGCCAAAATTAGAACAAATACTTACCTCGGTCCAAAGAATAGCAATCAACCCTCAAATACCGCGTTTCCTTTATAATCCGACTCTGAAACAACGATATCTAGGAATAATTAATTCAATAATATCAATAAAGACTCGATAACAAAATTCCATAGCTTAGATATGAAGTTCCTAGCATTCTTCCAAAAATACCAAAATTCGACCCCGGGCCCACATGGTCCAAACACGAGGCTCGGACCAAAACCCGATTACTCATAACCCCGCGACTTCAAATATATAATTTATTTTAAGATCCGACTCCAAATTGAGGTTGAATTACTCAAAATTCCCAAAAACCTAACTCTACCCAAAACCCCTAATTTCTACTCTAAATTACATGTTTTAGGCTTAGGAATTCAATAGATATTGATGGAAAATGAAGAAAACGAGTTGAAATTTACTAACCCAAGAAATATTGGTGAAAGAGAGCTTCAATGGACGCCTAAGGACCTTGGAGAAGAGAGAGTTCGTGTGTTTTTATGAAAATCCCGTAACTACACTGTTTTGGAATTAAAATTTATAACTGGGCAAAATTGCTCTATGCGATCGCGAAGAGAGTCATGCGATCGCATAGGGGAAGGGAAGGTTGGTCTCTGCGATCGCGAACCAAGCATTGTGATCGCATAGAAGAAAGGACTTCGCACTTTCAGGTTTGGTTTTATGAACTGCGATCGCGGAAGAAGGATGCGATCGCATTGAATGAATTGTGGCTAAGCTACGCGATCGCGGATGAATCTATGCGATCGCATAGAACAAAACTGGGCACCTGGAAGCTTACACTATGCGATCGCGATGCTGCCTATGCGATCGCATAGAATTAAATATCAGAACACCAGAACTGCTACTTTCTGCAACTTTTTCTAATGCTAAAACCATCCCGAGGCACATCCGAATCACATCCGAGCCCTCGGGGCCCCTAACCACACATGCACTCTAACTCAAAAATATCCTACGAACTCAACCGTGCGATCAAATCGCCAAAATAACATCAAAAACAACGAATCAAGCCTCAAAATCACTAGTTTTTTCTTCAAACTTCATAAACTTTCAAATTTAGAGTTTTAAGTCCGAAACACGTCAAATGACGTCCAATTTCAACCAAACTTCACAGAAACATCTTAAACTACATATAAGACTTGTACCGGGTGCCGGAACCAAAATGCGGGCCCGATACCAACACGTTCTAAACAATTTTCATTTCAATTTTCTTTATAAATTTCAGAAAACAATTTGTACTCAAAAATTCGTTTCTCGGACTTGGGACCTCGGAATTCAATTCCGGGCATACGCCCAAGTCTCATATTTTCTTACGAACCTCCCGGGACCGTCAAATCACGGGTCCGGGTCCGTTTACCCAAAATATTGATCGAAGTCAAATTTATTCATTTTAACCTCAAAATTTAGCATTTTTCACAGAATTTCATATTTAAGCTTTCCGGTTACCCGCCCGGACTGCGCATGCAAATCGATGCGACTCTAAATGAGGTTTTCAAGGCCTCGGAGACACAGATGGATAATTTAAAAGAGGTGATGACCCCTTTGGGTCGTCACAAAGTGTGATTTGTTACTGATCTTTGTGTTCGCTGAAACACTGGGGTTTGAAGTACCATTATACTAGTGTGTAATTCGTTATATTCTGGGAGGAAATAATCCACAACCTTGGGCACTAGGAGGAGATTAAATTTCTTAAGAAAATACTGTGAATTCAGTGGGCTCGGATTAAATTTTGTTTTTATTTATTATTTCTATTTATACGTTATTTTTATATTCTCCAGAATTATTTTATAAATACAGTAAACTAACAATTTATATGTTCAACGTTTTCTTTTGTTCTTTAAAATCTGTATTTAATCAAACAATCATATATATAATCGACCGGAGGCAGTAGTAGCACAAAAAGAAAAATCTTTTTAGTGGCATTTTTCATAATTTATGCAATTTATTTAAAAATTTATAAAATCGGTTTTCCAAATTTTTGAAGCAGACACTGATTAATACATGTCATGAGAAACAGTGCGAATGCAACTTCTTGAAAGTGATATTGATATTTATCCCTTTCACTTAATTATTATTCAAATTAAAGATGAGTGATCGGTGTTTGCGTCATTACAATGAACGAAACTTGTGAAATTTATGTTGTCGCTTTTAGCTCTTCGGCTGATGCTCCCTACGAGCCATAATAAGTCTTTTTTATTTTGATTCAAAATAAATGTTCATTTATATAATTAAAAAATAATTTAATTTATTTTTTCAAAATTATTCTCATGCACGTATCCCTAAAAAATCTTTTACTTCTCACATTAACTATGCTGCAATATTTAATTAAGAGTAGTTTAGTCATGCTAACTACTTTTATCCAGTAGTATTTTTTTAATGGGTGTGTCCAAAATAAATTGGTCACTTATTATAGAACGGGAGGAGTAAATGATTACCACTTAGAAGTAGCAACATTATTATTGGAATTAGCAGCTAAACTCAATGCTTATTTTTGGATGTGAGTTGTGACCGAAAAAAGGTGCTACCGAACTAAGCAAAATGCAAATAATTCCTAAATATGAGAACTAATTAAACTTTTATATACAGTATCAGCAAGGGCGGATTTACCTTAAACTAAGTGGCGTTACGTGATACCGTTTCATTGAAAAACTTCATTAAATACACATATAAATAATAAGCAAAAAATAACAAATTCTTATAATAATATAGAATGACATCACTTGGTAAATTTGTGTTTGGTTTGTTGGTTTAGGTGCTGCAATTCTCGAGGTTGGTTCTTGGGTTCGAGCCCCAATCAGTGCATTTTTTTTAAAAAATAATGGAAATGATCTAATTTTTTTTCTTCGCGATGTCGTTTCGAATTTATTTATTTACTCTTTTAAATATGACTTTACTTATAAAAAATCATGCGTACACCGACCGTATGTAAAAGTCGTGGCGGAGCTAAATGTATTTATGGGGTTCAATTAGATTCCTTTTATCTGAAAATTCTATATTATGTAAATAAAGTAAAACTAAATTTTGTGAATCCTCTTGATAGGCAAGTGTATTCATTTATCGTTGAAGTTTTTTTTTGTTTAATCTCCTTATTAAAATTTTTGGCTCCACTACAATGTTAAAAATAAATATGCAATTCATATAATAAATTGAAATACACCCCGATAGCATAAAATTGTTTGACACTATAACATTTGGTTGATTATATTGGAATAATTAATACTTACATAAAATCTTACTTAAGATAATATAGAATTTTCAGGCACGAATCTAAGTTCTCATTTGGCCATAAATTTTGACTTTATTTTTTATTATTTTTTTGAAAACATTGTTGCTTGAAATATGATCACATTTTGGGAAAAAATTCAAAATTTTCAAGTTTCGAAACACAACTTCAAATAAAATACACGTCCAAACACAACTTTAATTTTCAAAAATAATTTTTCAACCCAACTTCAATTTTTTTTTTTAAATTTCAATCAATTCTATATCCAAATGCTAGCTACATTTAGTAGGGTCCTAACACTAAAATTGAACACCTAGTGGGAATAAAAAAGAATTAAAAATAAAATAAAATAAAATACTACTCCTATCAATATAAGTAGGGAAGTAGTATTAAATTAAATTCAGACAGAGAAAAGAAAGGAAGAAGATATAAACGAGGGTGCGTTGTAGCGTGACTGTCAAATCTACATATTCTCTCTCTCTCTCTCTCTCTCTCTCTCTCTCTCTCTCTCTCTTTCTCTCTTTTGGGAGATTCGATTCAATCGCCGATCATTTCGGCTTTTCCAATCTATGTCTACTGCCTCTCTTCCCTAACTATAATGTTCTCAGATTTTCAAGGTACGTTCCCAATTCAGCTTTATATTTAAAAATGTTTAATTATACACCTACTCTTTATTCTTCTCTTTTCTCTTTGTTTTGAGTGGGAGATGAGAGCTCACATGAAAAGGATTTCTTAAGTTTTGGAGGTTTGTTAAATCTGTATCAATTATTATTTTTCTGTATTTGTATCCTTTTATAACTTTTTGTGTTGAGGGAGAATTTTCAATGAAGTTTGAGACTTCTTTTAAGTACAGTCCTTCCCCAAATATTTGTTGTTTTTTTAATTCAAATTTTGGGAATTTAAGCTTCTGCAACTTTGTAAGACTTCTCTGCAAAAATTCCAAATTTGAATTCTGTTTTGTTTCTTCTTTATGGTCTGTGATTTATTGTGTTTTTCAAAATGCTAATGTTTTTTTTTCCACCCCTTATATAGGGGATGGGGGTATGAGGGTGAGTGGGTGGGTGGTTATAGTGAGTCTCTGTGCATTTTCTTGAAAAGAATACCCATATGAGAGTTATGGCCAAATCTGCACTGCAAAAATAAATAGACTGGTCATTTCTGGGTCTGGAGATTCTTCTTTCAAATACTCTGAGCTTAGTTAGGTCCTTTAGCTGAGGGAGAATACACACAGTACCCACTAAAAAGGTTCCCTTTTTTGGAAAATAGGATCTGCTTTTTTTCATCTCATCATACCTAAAATAATACATAATAATAATAATGATATTAATAATTGCATACTCCATTTTTCTTAAATCTATCTATCCTTGTTAAAAAGTAGAACCCATGGGGTGAAAAACTGAGAAATCATGATTTCAATTTCAGAATGTTGTCTGTTTTGTACAACTTGTTCTTAAACAAATCATATAAATGAACACTTACCATGTTTTGTCTCTTAGGGGTCTTAGGGGTCGTTTGGTTTGTAGACAAGTTATGCTAGGATTAGTTATGTTGAGATTAGTTATGCAAGGATTAGTTATACTGATATTATTTTTTATTGACTGTTTGGTATGTTGTATTAATAATGATATTGTCATTTTAACTGCTTTATCATGGAATAACTTGTCTTGGGATTACTATTCCATCACCTGATAAGTATAAGTTATCCCGGTACTATTTTAATTCCGGGATTAGTAACCAAATAAGATATAAGGCAGTACTAAATTTTCTATCTCAAGATTATATTTCCTTATCCATCACAGGGGTAGAGCCGGAATGTCCCTCGTGGGTTCGGGTGAACTCAATAATTTTGGTGCAAACATTGTATTTGTGTGAAAAAACTCATTGAATTTCTATAATTTATTAATGTAGAATCCAATAACTTAATAGGATTTGAATACTGAACCTGCAAACTTGAAATCTTGGCTCCGCGTATGATCTATCATACCAAACGACCCCTTAGTCTTTACTTAATACTATAGCTGTACAGATGAGAAGTTATCATTATGGTTTTTTTTTTTCTTCTTAAACTAGCTTTAAATATACTCCCTTTTTTTCTTTTCCTCATTATTGTCTTCCGTTTTTTGTGGTCCTTTTCTTTGGGATCTACTTTTGCAGAACCTGTATTGAATTGAAAAGAGGATTCTTCTTCACCAACTAAGGACCTAAAAAAACAAAAGGAATTATGGAGGGAGATACATTTTCAGGCTTAGGTAATGGTACTCAAGTAGATGGAAAAGTTTTTCAGACATTCCAGAAGAGTTTTGTACAAGTGCAGAACATATTGGATCAAAATAGGTTACTAATCAATGAGATTAATCAGAATCATGAGTCCAAGATTCCTGATAATTTGAGCAGAAATGTTGGTTTAATCAGAGAGCTTAACAATAATATCAGAAGAGTTGTTGATCTTTATGCTGATCTTTCTTGTAATTTCACCAAATCAGTTGATGCTTCATCTGAAGGAGATTCAAGTGGTGTTTTGAGATCAGATGGAAAAGCTAATCACAAGAGAAGCAAGCCTCATGTTTAAAAGGGAAAAAAAGGATTAAAAAGTTAAAGTCCTTTTTTTAATCCTTTTTCTTGATTCTTTTATCATTGTGGAAACAAGAAAATCCCTAAATTCTCTGAGGTAGAAGAAGATAAATTAATGATTAGTTAATAGTATAACCTTTTTTATTTTTTATTTTCCTGTAGTTGTACTTTATTTAGTACCTTACTCAAAAATAATGACCCCCCAAAAATGTGTTCCTTTGTTAATGTTCACCTGCAGATCTAATTGAAGCAAAAGAAGATGTTTGTATCTTCTTGTTGGTAAATTCTTGATCTTGTTGACAGTTCAAAATCAAATGAGCTGTTGTTTGTTTCTATTTTATTGTTTCTTTTTGAATGAGCACAAATATATTGATTTTTGTTAAAAGGGATGTTGTGTAAATGTTTTAACTTTTTAAGTTTGTCAAAAGTTTAATGATATATATTTTTTGTATTGGTCTTTACAGATTTTTTCCATCATTCTCTTCTAATAAAGTTTCTTCCATACCACTTTTTGCTAAACTCCTTTTGTTCCTTTTGCTCAAAGACAGATTTCTTTTTCATATTATTTTGGTGGTGATAACTGCAACTAGTGGCAGACACTGTTTTAAGTCCTCCAATAAATCAAAGCTCTTTTATTTTGTTGGTGTTCAAGCTAGTTTGTGTGCACCACGATTAATTTCATGGGAGGATGCATGTTTTCTCCTATCAGCAGCCGGTATCAAGCAACTTTGTCCACCAAGGTTTGGTCAGATGGAAAGAAATAGCCTAGTGTGTATTGCGGAGGCGGATCCAGGATTTCAAGCTTATGGATTCGAGGTTCTAATCGTTTTAAGTTATTGAGTTCTAAATTAATAATTCATACATATTCAATGAATTTTTTAAAGACAAATACAGAGTTCAAAACAAAGCTACTGGGTTCAATCGAACGCGCTCCAGGCACTCTAGCTCTGCCCCAAGTGGTTTGTCTCCGCTAGAAATTGAACCCGAGACTTTGTGGGTTTTCACCCACTTCATACCACTAGGCTACACTCTTGGGTGCAAATCAAAGCTCTTTTAAGCCATCAGAATGTAAAATTTCCTGATAGGAAGCGTTTTCCTTTCACCGAATCCTTCACGCATTGCAAATCTAAATTANCTCAATTTATGAATATCTTTTTTGGGGAAAGTTATTATTGGTGATTTTCATGTGGAGAAAGAGACCAAAGGGAAAAAGGGGTTACTTTGATTGAAACATACATTTCTGCAAAGATGCTCTGAGACATTTTTGGGGAGAGAAAGCAGCTTTTAGATTAGATCTTTTTAGTTCCCAATCAGACAGCACCACAAGATAGGAATCTCAGACGAGAAATGAGGGGTCTTTGACCAAAATTTTAGTAAATATTTTCCACCCCATTTGTTTATGTTTAATGTTTGTTCCATCCAACGATAGTCTTATGGATAGTATTGATAGGGAAATAAATGAATAAATAATTCAATTGGTGGAATTTAAATATTACAAAAATAGAATTAAAAAAGGAAGTTTGGGGTTTGTTTCAAAGTTCAAACAATGCACTAGATTTCTAAGGGACAGACATATGTGAATAGTGATTCCCAACAATATGACAAAGGGCCCCAAATGGCTTTCTTTTGAGATAGAACTGAACTGAACTTCAAAATGCTTATACCCTTTCTCTACTCAGGTTTCTTTCTCTTTTGCAAATTGCAATAAAGGCACTTTTATTACTGGCTTCCATTTGATCCCACCAACATAATCCCTGGGTCCCATCATCAGTGACGGAACCAAAAATTTATGTTAATATACTGCATTTGTAAAGTAATTTTGGAGAAGATAAAATAATATATAAACAGAATTGTAAAAGAAATAAAATTTAATCCGAGCCCATTGAATTTACAGTGTTTTTTTAAGGAACTTAATTCCCTCCTAGTACCCGAGGTTGTGGATTATTTTCTCCCAGGATAGAACGAATTACACACTGGTATAACGGTACTTCAAACCCCAGTGGATAAGCGAACACAAAGATCGGTAGCAAATCACACTTACTGTTGCTTTCTTTGTAGTTAAAACAATGCAGAAGAAAGGGGGAGTATTCAGAAATTCGTATGAAAAATCTGAGATAATGAGCTGATATATATAGCCAATATGCTGAGTTCAAATTGAAGAGGTACAACTCTTCAGAAGGGCTATCATGACCGTTTACGCAAAACGACCATAACGTAAATGGCTATTTACGCAACAATAAAATGGGAATTCAAAACCTTATTTTTCCGTTACAAAAACGGAAAACAGACGGGAAGAGAACTTAATTTTTCCGTTACAAAAACAGACTGGCAGAGTCAATAAAACGGATAATTTGGATTTAATATTAATTTTTCGTTACAAATACGGATATTTAATAATATTACGTTAATATTTACTATTGACAAATAAATTTTGTCCAAAAAATTATTTAATCAACCATTTGACCAAATCCGAAGGCGAGCGACGACGACAACGCGCGACTTGCCTTCTTTTTAACTCTTTAAGAGCTAGAAAAAGAGCAATTATATATATACCCATCAAAAATATTTTCTTCTTCCAATATGGGACAACGCCCTTTTGTCAAGGAGGAAAATTCAAATATTTTATTTTCCTCCATTTCCCATTCACCCTCTTTTAAGCTTATTCTAGCTTAAAAAACCCAACAATTTATATAAAGAGATTAAAAAAATACTAAAATATTATGCTATGTATCTGAACCTACGACTTAAAGCAAAGTTTGAATCACTTTTGCCATTTGTTAGATTCTCTCTTATTTTAAAAGATTTCAATAATTTAAATATAATATTTTTTTTATATAGCATAAACAACAAAAAGGATTCAATTAAATTTCCTTTCTTCAACTTAGCTTCGCCCCAGCATGCCATCACCTCAACTCTCCCCCTTTTTAGTATCCCTTTAAGAAAATAAGAGTACAAATGATAAATCTGTATTATTACGTGTAAAATCAAACCAAATTTGATCGGTTATTAAAATTCAAAATTAAAATCAAATCAAACCAAAAAATATTGATTTTTTTCCCGGTTTGTTGGTTCTTCATTTGATCCTATTTTTTTAATTTTTTTTTATGACTATTCCGTCTTCCTCTGGCTCTTCCCGTCTCTAGTACAGATCAAATCACAGGATCTCTGTATGTATGCGCTGAGGAGCTATATTTCCCGGACGAAAGACTTCTAAACTCTGATTTCCGGAATGGCAGCATTGTAGACTCGTGACGCAACACGACTGAACGACTTAATGTTTCAGGTTCACAGGAAAATTCTGGACAGAAGTATTCAGACTCTTGGGGTCAAATCAAAGCTGAACTTCTCCACGAGTCTTCAAATTAGTGAGTTGGATTGGACTGTAATGCATAGAATTTGATATCAACCTCACATTGTTCCGTGGAAATGCAATAAGATTCCATTAGATTAAAAGCCAAATAATTTGTGAGTGCTAACTTTAGATCAATTAAGAGTAAAGATTGAGCTAACTAATTTTAATTTTAATCATACAAAGAAGAGTAAAAAGTTTAATTTGGATACGTGTTCAAGAAAAACATCATTGAGGCCCTGAAATTTTAGATAAAAAAGACAAAGACAATGCAAACATGGACAATTGATTAAGCAGGTGGCTTTGTTGGTGGACCCTCTGAATATGGGATCCTAATTTCTGATGAAATTACCACTCGAATGAAATCTCTAATTAAAAATGAAGTAGTACTTATCACTCGAACAAAACCTCTCGCTTAGTAGTTGTCACCGTTGTAATCTATTTTGTTCATTCTTAAGCAATCATATAGTGTTTTCACATTTTTCTTTGTCTGTAACTTAAATGAGATCTGTCTATATGTGAAGGTGTTTGTATTGACTTTTAAGCCGATCAAATCAGCTTTTAAGCTCTTTTAACTTTTATATTATTTGACAAAGTAAAAAAATATTTAAAATAAGTTAAAAACTGCTAAAAACAAGCCAAAAATTATAAGTTGGGCAACCCCAACTTATTGCTTTTTGACTTAAAAGTTATTGGAAAAATGACACTATATAGCCGTTGTAAAAATAATTGCCGAAAAATGTATAAAATTTGTATATTTTTTGTATACATATATATTCTGTATGTTAAAATATACAAAAATTATACAAATTTTATAATTATTTTAGCTATCAAATATAAATAGTTTCTGGCGCAGACTAAAAGTGATAATACCCTAAATAACTGCTTAAAATCCACTATTTTAAGCCAATCCAAATCGGCTTTTTATCTCCCTCTTCGGAGATGGAAAAAGAAAGTGTAATCATCATTTCGTCTGTTGACTTTTAAGAAACTCGAGTCACCCACCATTAGTATTTTCCTTGGTATACTTTAGTTTTGTCATAACTATTAATCATTGATAATTTAACATTTTGTGTTTATAATTTGTAGTAATTGTCCAATAAAAGGCTAATAACGATATTATGACCAGATTTATTTTATTAATAATAAGTTACAAAATCAGTAATTTAAAAATGACAAAGATTAATTTACTGGCTTTTATTAAAATCATTGTAAGCTACGTAGAATCACAATTTGAAAAGAGACTTTGTATGGTAATATAAAACTTGGGGACGAGAATAATACTATCTCGAANTTTTCCTCTTAATTTCCTTAAAATAATGCATATATCTTCTGTTCTGATAGTAAAAAATTGTGCGTTTATTTTGTTTCGTACATTATTGGGAATTTATATTGGGCCCATCGACGAAATTAGAATTTGCGCCAAAGGCGATATTATGCTCATGGCTCAAATCCAAAATGTATTATTATAGATGTAGGAGTCCTTACCTCTCCACCACAATTCGTGTCGATCCTAAAATTGTGTTATTAATATCCCAATTTCAGTTTCATTGTCATAATTCATTCTCTTCATGTTGCCCCACGGAAACAATTTGTACTTTTTGAGGTAATATTTGGATCCATATTTCCTCGATCCAATTATTGATGAATCAATAAGTTGAATGTGTAGTCTAGACCACAAGTGCCACATTTGGTTGCTTCACTTGTTGTCCTTTCAATTTGACTTATTAGGCGCTCTTATAGTTTATAAGTTATAACTCCACCCTTTTTCTTATCTCCAACAACAACTAGTAATAAACTAGGAAAAAGAAAAAAGAGGGTATAGAGTCGTCAACAAGGATTGTGATGGAGTGATAAGTTTTCTTTCATTTTTGATCAGAGGTTTTGAATTCGAGCCTTGATCTAGAGTCGCATTTATTAGGAAGCGTTTTACTC